TTACCTAATGCCCGATGTTTAGACAAAAATGAAGCTATTTTTTGTCCACCAGATAACGTTTGAGACCAGATAACGTTAAAAGACTGACTCTAGTCGATGGATTATTTAAATAAAAACTATATAAAGGATATAAACTGTTTAAAAATGGAACTCAATAATTAGTTTTGACATTGTTATGTATATGCCAAATACGCCAAAAAACGGGTTTTACTTGTACAATGGGAATATAAGTTCTTTTTAAAACAAAATACGAATATTCTTAATTTCCCGGTTGGTTGCGAAATTTGTTAATTAAAAAAAGTTGGGCACAAATAAGTGCACAAATTGAATGGTCTGTTTTTAGTTTTTATTACATTGAAAATAATTCATGAAATAAGAACAAAATAGACTGGATTTAATAATGTGTCATAATATCAATAATAATATATTTATTTTTAGTAATAAAAACTAATAATATAATATAATTTATTAATAAAATTTATGTTTAAAAAGCAAAATGAAATAAAAAAAACATAAAAAACGATTTTGTTTTTTTTGTTTTAAATAGATTATTATATTTTTTTACAACAGAGGTGTTTTTTTAATTATAAAACTGAGTCATGCCTCGGAAAAATTTGCTTTTCAAGAAAAAAAGACTGAAGATGCTGTTTTTTGCGGCAAAAAAATCGTCTTTGGTAAAGCCATTTTTAAAAATACGAAAATAAACGGGACATTAGGTTATATTGAATTGTGATTCCAGAAGATTCAATAATTTTTATCAAATTGTTTTAGATAAATTAACAATTTATAAATATTTATCGATTTTTTATGTTTTATTAGCACAATAAAAAAACATAATATAAATTAACGAAAAGATAAATTTAACATATGAATTTTATTAACATATTTTCTTGTATAATTAACACACCGAAAAAATAAAATTAATTAACGAAAAAAATAATTAACAATTTAAAAATATTAATCGATTTTTCTTGTCAAATTAACACAGCGAAAATTTACAAATAATTTAACGCAATCAAAATTAACATCTTACTATTATTAACGTTTTTACATGTTAAATTAACAAACTAAAATGTAAATAATTAACGATAATTCAATAAAAAATGTGTATTTCAAATAAATTACATTGTACAATATCTGTTTGTAATTACAAACATTTATTTGTAATTATTAATTAAATATTTTATTTGTTACAGAATCGACGGAGTAAAATATTTAAAACCACAATTAAACAAACATTATTTGATAATTAAACAATAACGTTTCATTGAAATTATATTTCAAAGAATGACTTGTTATAAATATTTATTTTATTATAAATTATAAACATAAAAAATGAATAAAATGATGTCATGTGCATGATCAACATATAAGACTATGGTCATTTTTCAACATGGAATAAAAATTGCATCACAATTAACAACATTTTTTATAATGATAAATCATTTGTGTTAGAAAAAAAAACTATTATTTTAAACTTTTCAATATATCTTTCAACCTGTTTATAATTTTGTTGATACTTATTAATGTACAACATAATTGTTTTAGTATTGTATATTTAATTCTGAATTATATTGTTAAAATAAATGTATTGAAAAATGTATAGCATTGGTCATTCAACGTGCCAAACAATGACGATATAAGCAGTTGATTTGTCTGGAAAAAATACATTTTAACAAACAGTTAGTTAATAATGACATCAATAAAAAACATGATTATAACTTCTTTTGTATTTTAATGAACAACAAAAACACCAAATTGAAAAATATAAAACATTGTAACGGTCCATTTGTTTCAAATCATAAACCAATAGAAGTTTACGCTTTACTTTGTTTAAACATCAAAAACACAACTAATAAATTTAATTATCATTATATGGACTAGTAATATTTATATAAGGTACAACAAATTGTGTATTAATATATCATTTAAAACTAGCTTATATTTTACATATATATACGTTGAAATCAATAAACACGAAAATGTGACTTTTATGTATTTTAACTTGAATTTTGTAAAAAATATTTTGACATTTAAACAAAAGTGGGTAAATTCATTACTGATTCAACTTCAATACATATTTGTTGTTTAAAAACATTTCGTTGACAAAATATCAACAACAATATTGAAATATGTTAACAAAAAATACACAACTATAGTTTTTAATTCATGTTAATTCTTAGACTACTAAAAATGATTTTAATGTCTTATGTACACGTTTAAGTGAGTCGCAAGTAAAATCCTAAAATTTGTGTAAACTGTGATAGTTTTTTCATTTTACTGTTATCTTTTAAACTTTTAGTTTTATGTTACATTTTTACACATCGTAAAGTTACCACTTTTAATATTTTAGGCTGTTTTTAAATCACCAGTGTAGCAATAAACGGCAAAACCCAATACATCAACTGTTGTTATCAAATTAATGATAATTGCTAATTAACAAATGCTCCCATTTTAATTAATCATAATAGTTGTAGTATTATCAAAATATACATGTTCACTTTTTGTGTTGTAATATAAATAATAACTAAACGATTGTTAAAAAATTATTTGGATTAATATCTCGCTTGCACATCATTTTCAACAAAAAACTGTTGAATGAAAATTGAGGATATGGAAGTGATTGCACAATGAAATTATTAACAATTGTTTATATTTGATTTTTCTTTGTATTAACAAATCGTCAATGCAAACACTTATAATTACAATTAATAATTGAAAAGAACAATATCATTAACAGTCATTATTCATTCAAAAATTTAATTATACAATTACACTTGTATTAACAAATATGTATATCTATTATTAATATATTTAAACGTTTAACTGTGTTGATAACTTTGTTATGTGAATAATTGGAAACACCTTTTTACTAAAAGTTAATAAATGTATAATTATTCAAAGTAAATTTTAATGATATCAAAATATAAATCAAAAAATAACAGAAATGATCAATTGAAATATTTAATTTCGATTTGATTATAACTGTATATATTGTTAATCGTATGTGTATTAACGTAAAACAGACTATTTTAAAATTATATAAATATAAAACTTGCAAACTTTTTTATTGTTAAAAGTTTGGCATCAAACATAAACTGTTAGATTCGAATATAATTAATATGATTTATTTTTACAACAAATTTTTATTATTGAAAATGTGTATATATGTATTAATAAGTATGTTATATGAACTGAATATCTGGACTACTAATAGGTTATAAACCATTATTGATTAAATATTAATTATTGGATTTTAAAAAAACAATAAAGAAAATATAAATGATGTGATTGTTTTGAAATTGATAATTGATATCTGATGTGCCTGTTTAGTTTATTAATAAATCATTTTTTGTTTATCAACTACAATAACTTTTAGATATATGAAATTTTATAAAACTTGTAACAACTCGAATATTTTAAAAAGAAAGAAAAAATGCAACCAACAGTCAAGAAATTACTTTTATTTTGTTATTTAATTTTATATATTACAACAACACCTGGAATTCAATTATGTTACGTCAAACTATTTAATCGGGCTTACATGATACTGAGAATTTACATTTCTGAACTGTCTCATCTTTTCTTTTTTGGTTTCGTGTTATTGGTAATTCAGTTAGTGTTTATTTTCAGATTATGCCTTTTTGTAACAAAATGTTTAATACAATGTTTTAAATGTATTTTTGACAGATATTCCATAATATTACTTGTAAAAGAGGATCAATGTCATTGTTTGCATCCACAATAGTCATTAAGATTATAAGTTTAAAAAATCACATATCAATTACAAGTGTATGTTTCAAGAAATTACATTAACAGTTTTTAGTCTACAATTATAAAGCAAATATATACTCTGAAATACCACATACAAATAATACAGCTACGACTATTGTGTTGATAACGGGTTATTAATAACAAATTTTTGTTGCATGTTTGATGAAATTTCAATTATTAAATTGATAACAAAATAATAATTTAATAAGTTATTATAGATATTTTATTAAATAAAACTATAATAATTTTATAATAAATTATTATTTAATTAAACTATAAAAATATAAAATAATTAATTATAACAATTATTGTTACAAACTTATAGTTAAGTTATTATTAATTTTAATAATAAATAAAAATAAAATCCCATAATGTTATTTTTAAATAGTAATTCATTTAATAACACAATGAAAACACAGTAATAAAATAATTGAAGTGTTCTTAAGGTGTGTTTGGTTAAAAACATTTTTCTTCATGTCAATAATTAATAATTAAAATTGTTAATAAAAAATATTATAATTTGTTATAAAATGTATATAAATACAAATTAAATAAATAATTTAATACATGTCAAGAATGTTCACATAAACTAAAGAATAAATAAAATTTAATTGTAATAATGGTAACTATTATAATTAAATGATTGGTTCTAATTACTATTTTATTATACTATTCTAATTTATTTAACATTATTTTATTTGAATTTGTATATTATTCAATTATATCAAAATGATTAAATTTATTATACTTTTAGTTTTTTTGTTAATTTTATTTAAAAAATTATGTTCAAAATGAATTATTAATTTATGGATTAATAATAATTTATTAATAGTTTAATTGTTATTTGGGTTTATTTGTGACTTTATTTTACTATTAATATTTCGTTGTTATTAATTTTTTATATAGTTTTTATAAATGTAAATATTTGTTTTTAGAAAATGTTATTTGAATGTTTTGACAAAATGTACTATTTCTTAATATATTATTTATTACATAATTTAATACATAAATTCATTGTCGTAAATTAAACATTAGTTAAGATATCGTTAATTTTATTATATTGTTATAATAATTTTGTATAATTTATTATATCATGTATATACTATAACAATTAACCAGTTGTTAATAGTTTAAATACTAGACGTTTTTACTATTGTTCTATAATAGGGAGTAACCATGAGGTGAGTTTTATTTTAATTTGCCAAAAAATATTTTAGTGCAAAAAAACAAATTTTTCCGAGGCATGAATTAAATGAATATTGTTAATAAAATAACCAATTAATAAATTACAAGATGTACTATTAACTATTATTAAATTAAACTATATTAATTTGATAATATAATATAATAATTTAATACTCACAATTGTTCCGAAATGCAGTTTTGGGGTCAAGCAGATATTCAGGAAATTTTTTAAATTGTACAAAATCGTCACATTTTCTCCCTTCCTTCCTCTCCATATTAGGCGGACATTTTCTTAGCGTTGGATTAAATTTGTTTTTAGTGGCATCACAGCAAAAACGAATTTCATCCACTGAATTGCTTTCAACGCAATTAAAGACTGGTTCAACGCCAAATTTGTTTTTTATAACTTTTTTTAATTCACTTCTTTGATACATCTTCTCAGTCTCCACTTTCAATTTACTCTCTTGCAAAAATTTCCAAAAATCGATGTTGTTATACAAATTCAGTGCTGTTTGAATGTAATCAAAATGTCCATTTTCTCCTCCATACACACTCGAAGAACAAGTCCCATGTTTGTCCCATTGATACATCAAATTTCTACAGCGAGTAGTTGACATCCAACTATTTAAAACCTCTTGTTTAAGTTCCTCTCTCTCTAACATTCTTTTTTCAATTTCTCTGTCTGATATTGGATAAATACAACAGACCATATCTCGACTGTTTTCATATTGAGGCCAAAATCCATGTAGAAAGAATTTTTCTTTTACATTTTGTGTGCCAAGCGGCAATGAGCACACCTCTTTACTGCATTTGTCTCCGGGCCAATACTCAACTAAAACAAGCAGTTCAAGTCGTTTTGATGTTGGTTGGTAATATTTACACATTTGATAATCTTTTAATTTATAAAAATTTGAAGTTGGCCATTGTATGGGAGTAACGACCTTCTTAGGACTCGTTTCTGGTGATTCACTTTGATGAATTTCAGGAAAGAGTTCTTCACGTAAAATCCGTTTTTCTTTTTGTTTTTCACGAAACTGGCTTTTATCGTAATTTGTTAATACTGGTTTGTAAGGTTCCCTAAATTTTGGTTTTACATCAAATTGAGTTTTTGGTCGAACAATTTGTTCTTCTTGTTGTGTTGGTTGAGGAGTTGATGGTTTATGTTTTTTGATGTGTTTAACTGGCTGTTGTGTTGTTTTGGGTCTTACAATTTGAGACTCTTTCGACTCTGTTTTCGGTGAAAAGGGTGGTTTTGTTTCAATTGGAGTTTTGGATTGCTCGGACTTTGTTTTGCGTTTTCCTTTCTTTGATACAACAACTGTAAAACCCGACTCTTCTTCTTTTGGCAAAGTTTCTTCAAGGGAGGAAAGACTTGGAAATGTTTTTTGATCTTCTGAGGATTTATCCGGTTGAGCAAAAGTAAGATTGAGTATCAAGAAAAACTGAAAAAACATGAAAATAAAGTTTTGACTTAAACTTTAAGTCAAATGTTTACAAATAATGTTTATTATTTTTCGACTTTTAAAAATTACTGTTTATTTTTTTCGATACACTTTGTGTTGATATAAGTCTTTATAACAACAAAAATCACTTATTTTCATAAAACATTAAATTTTTATTTAAATGATTTGTTTTTTGAGTAATGAATATAACTATTGTATAGTTTATTTTTTAGTTTAAAATAGATAAAATTAACATATTTTCAAACAATAGTTATAAAGATATTTAATTATTATAAATAGATATTTACCATTGAAAAAATGGTCTTATCATTATACTTTTAACATTCAAAACAATTTTATATGTTACTGGATTAATTGCTTCTGTGTTTTAACTTTTTTAAAGAAGGGAAAACGAATTTTAGGGTCACCAAGTACATACAGAAAAACTTGTGAATAAAATACACATAAAATGAAAGAAAGTGATAAACATTTTTTATATCAAATACCATTTCAACTTGATAGTTTATTCAAAATTTCACATTTTTATTAATTAAAAAATTAAAGAGTAAAAGTTAACTTTTAAAAAACAGTGTTTTTAATAATTTATAAAACAAAATTATCAACATAATTAAACGCTTAATTAAATAAATAACAGATATACATTATTGTTAGTACAAATGTAATTTTTAAATGTAATTTACGGTTGAATAATGACTGTTAATGACATTGTTATTTTCAAATATCAATTGAAACTTTTGTTCAATTGGTTTAACATTTTGTTGAAACAAAAAAACAAATATAAACGATTGTAATTTATTTCATTGTGTAACTGCGTCTATGTTCATAATTATCATTAAACTTTTTTTTGTTGATAATTACATTTAAACTAGTTGTTATATACAATTATTGTTCTTAACTGTCGTTTTATTATTTTAAATATTTCAACACACAATAATGAACATGTGTATTTTTATAACACCACAACATTTATGATCAATTTTAATAGAGACATTGATTAATATCAATTTTCAATAATTTAATAATAACACTTAATGTATTGGATTTTACTGTTTATTACTATACTTTCATTTTGAAAACAGCCCAAACAATAAAAAGTGGCAACTTTTAAGTGTGTTAACACGTAACATCAAACAAAAACTTTAAAAGATAACACTAAAATATAAAAATATCACAATCCACAACAATTTTGGTTTCCAACTTGAGGCTCATATGTATGTTTACGTTAGATATTTAAAATCGATTTCCCAATAGTTAAAAAATTAAATTACTCTTTATCTCTAAACAAATGACATTAATATGATACACGTGCAATTATAAAAAAATAAACATTTTTATTATTTTAAATAGTTCTCTTGTTATTGTTTAATTCTTCTTGAATAAAAAAACGAATAAAAAACTAACCCAACTTTTTTAAAATTACTCATAATAAGTGTTTATTTTTAATCATTTTCAAGATTTCATATAACTATAAATCTGAATAAGTTTTTTCTTGAATTCAGAACATATTTTTGTTTATTTAAAATAATAAAAAAAGATTTTTATATTTATTTTTTTATTTTTAAATAAAAATCATTTGTAATCTTTATTTTTATCATTATAAAAAACTAAAAAAACAAAAAATGGAAGAAAATATGAAAACCCTTTTAACACTCTGCACAAACACAACAAAAGCGATTACAGATTTTCAAAAATTCAAATTGGAATACGACTTTGTTGACAACAAGTCACTTGACATCACACAACGCATTGAAAATGCAGATGGGTACTTTGACAAACTTGATGAGATATTTGAGAGAAAGAAGAACATCACATCATCACTTAATACAATCGTTACAAGGTTGGACAACATGTCAACCAAAATCAAAAGTGAGATGAATTTGTATTCCACACAAAATAACAACGAAAAGATGTATGAAATATGCAATCTCAGAACCACACTTATTGAAGAAAAATGCGATTTGGAGATAAAACAACACCAAGATGAAATCAATAGAATTGCTCAAACAAAGAAAAATATGACTGATGAAATAAAAAACTCGGGCAAATTCGTCAATTCAAAAAAACAACACGACGAAGAACAAGAGCGAGTGAAAAGAGAACATATTACACTTGAAGAGGAAAGGGGTCTTGAGAGAATAACAGGAACAAAGATTGGGAGTGTTGTGTTTGACTCAAATAAAGACGACTGGTCACAAAACACGTCGGTATTCGATGCTAAAATTGGGAACAGAAGCAATTTATGCTTTTTGGTAGAAGACACAATTCACAACAAGTTCGGGGGCATATTAACTGGCAATATCAATGATGTTGGCAATAACAGTTCATACATATTTTCGCTTGTGAGAAACGGTACTTTGAATACAAAAAAGTTTGGGAAGAGTAGTAATGATCTTAAAAATGAATTTTTCCTTTATTCTCAAGACAGTTTTGCACTTTTTGGATTTGGTAGTGGTCTTCGGTACAGTTATGGTTGCCAAACTGTTGGTGATATACGTTTGTTTAAGAAAGGTATTGATAAAAGTCATTGCAAACCCAATAGTTTTACAGCAAAACCGAAAGAGTTAACGGATGATTACAGTTTTACATTAAAGAGTTTTATTGTTTTTCAACTCATTTGATTTACTTTATACTCATCATTGTTTTCTGTTATTATTGTAAGAGTTAATGTGAACAAGAGTTTTAAAAAAAATATAAACAAAAAGTAGAGTCTTGTTTTGTATAAAATACTATTTTTTTAAAATGAAAAAGTAAGCTTCAGAGATAAGATCAAATACCAAAAACAACAATTTTTATTCAATTTATGTCAATAATAACGAACACAATGATAACACGTAATTGTATTTCAAACAAAAAACACTTAAAAAAATCTATTAATGTAAGCCATACTAAATTCTGTGATGTGTGATAATTGATTATTCATAAAACATTTAAAAAAAACATTTTAATGTTTGTAAAAAAAATAATCAACAAAAATCAAATAAAAAGATTCCAACTATTAAAAAGATCAATTATTACATTCTTTATTTTAGAATACTAGCTCTAATTTAGTTTAATTAATTGTAAACAATACTATACATTGAAAAAAATAATTAAATTAAAAATAACCAATAAAGTAACTTAATTAATTAAACAGAAAAAAACATATAAATTATAATACTAAATAGTATAATCTAATTTGAAAACTTCAACAAAGTATTTAAAAAAAGAAAAATGAAACTTCTTTTGACGAAACAATGACTCAACAAACAATATGTTTGAAAAAAAAAGATTTGTTTTGTATTCAAACGGACTTATTTTTAATAGTGGGTCAGCAAATATGTTATTAATGATTACTATAATTAATTCAAACAAATGAAGTATATTATGATGTATTCAATAACGTTTTTAACATTTGAATCTAACAAAAATCAAAATGTCGTTTGGTGTATTTCAGCAAAAGGATAAAATGTTTAACATCACGTGTTTCCCAAGGTACCAATACAAATTCCGATTTATTATTTGTTCAGTCAAGTGGGTTCTGCAAGACTGTATGTTTATGGCTCATGTAGGGTTTTTACCAGTTTTTTGGCGAGACTCTTCCGGATGAAAAATCCATGATTGAAACCAATGAATTTGTTATTACAAATTATAAAGGTTGCTATGCAGTTGTAAATCAATATGTAATTAAGCAGCATGACTGGAATTTATATGCTAATTACATCGAAGATGGATATTTAAATGTTCATATGTTTTATTTAATTATCATAATTAATGGAAATATTTCGCAGCTGCCCGAGTTGGAATGGTATTATGAAAGTATATTGAAACCGTCATTCAATACACTTCCACTTACCCCCATTTTAATTATTGGCGGAATAATTAAACGTGTGATTGATTATCCATATTCACCCTATTTCCACAAACATGCATTGGTTATAGATCTTGAAGTCAAAGATGAAACATTTAAATTGGTTGTGGATTATGCAAAAAGCAAATTTCTACAATTGGAAGAGAATGTGTTTTATTTATTTAGGGACGTTGAATTCAATTATAATGATGGCATTATATATTTGAAAAACAGTTCGATTTGTTTGAGATGCCAAAGGGGAGACACTGTCATAGATGAAGTAAAAACGTACGATTCAAAATCCAATAACAATAAGGTTGTTATATCTTTCAAATTATAATCTAGTTATCTAAACAACTAATTTTTATTTTAGTTAAACTTTATTTTTTGTAATTGTATAAAATATATTTTGCAACAATAATTATTATGCACTAATTATAATTTAGATTGTCTAATAGTTATACTATTAACACTTTGACATAATTAATTGGTTAACACTTTAAATAAATTGAACAAAATTCAAGTGGTCTAAAAATCGGGGAAATATCGAGTTTATTAAATAAATTTCCGTTTTTGAAGAGTTAATATTATGTCCATAAACAATACACAAACCAAAAAAGGAAAATCATGAAAAATTTTATTAATATCCCTGAAAAAACAGGCCAAAACAAAAATCAGGGCGTTATTTTAAGTGTTAAGATAATTAATTGGATACATAAAACATTGAAAATAATAGAAAATATTATAATATCATAACAAGTTTGTTAACATAATGTATCAATTAATTATGGATGAAATAAAAAATGATAAACATTCAAATTATTTTGTTTTAATAAGTGATGTTTTTAATCAAACTATTCTGCAATAAATCAACTCTCTGATCATTTAAAAAAAATCTGATAAACAAACGAATAAAATTATGATTGATGGATTCCATTTGATTGTAATATCACAATATTTTAAATCGATGAATGACTTTTACAATGTCGAAATGGTTTGCAAAAAATTCAATGGGACGTTACAAAAATTCCATTGTAATCCAATCCCTGTTGATAAAACAACAATCAAACACTTTCCAAATATTGAGACACTCAATATATGGTTGGAAAAAGACGATGTTTTCGGAGTTCTAAACAAAGAACAGACACCAACAAAAAAGTTCTTTAGGGTTGTTATATGGTTCCAAGTTTCTTATAAAACAACACAAGAAATACAGGATACAGAAGTTGTATTCAAAAATGTCTGTTATACAATGGACGATCGAATCAAATTTGGTGATGAATCGTTCATAATTCCACCAACAATTCGTTCTTTAGGTGAAAAATGCTTTTCTGAATGCAACAAAATGAATTTGATAGATATTCCATTACGATTAAGTGGGATAGGTGCCAATTGTTTTGCACAATGTTCATCATTAAAATATATAACAATACCTCCTCTTGTATATTCATTGCCATCACATTGTTTTTTGTATTGCACATCACTCTCATCGGTTGTATTGCCAGATACAATAAAATCTTTTGGAGAATTCTGTTTTGGGTACTGTTTTTCACTTTCAGAAATTAAGATCCCCAAAAGTATTACAAATATTGGGAAAATATGTTTTTACAATTGTTCTACACTTTCAAAAATTGAAATCGATAAAGAAGCACAAATTAAAGTTATCGATCAAGAAACGTTTTGGAAATGCACTTCACTTCTTTCCTTTTGTATTCCTCAAAACGTCAACTCGATTGGATTTGGGTGCTTTTCGGAGTGTAGTATGTTGACTTCAATTTTATTTTCAACGAATTTAAGTTTTATTGATAATAATTGCTTTTATGGATGTAGAGCTCTTCATAACGTCACACTGCCTAATGCATTAACAAAAATAAGTGAAGAAATGTTTGGATATTGCTCACAATTATCGATTATTGAGATACCACAACGTGTTGTTGAACTTTGTTCATCATGCTTTGAGAATTGTTCATCTCTTGTCAGCGTTAAAATACCAGATTGTGTGACGTCTATTGGACATCGTTCTTTTGCATGTTGCACTACTTTAAATGATGTACGTTTGCCCAACAATGTAAAGATTATCGAAAGTGGCATTTTTATGAATTGTTTTTCTTTAAGTAAAATTGAAATTCCAAGCTGTGTTTCAAAAATCAACAATTACTCTTTTTATAATTGTAATTCACTTACATCTATTGTTCTTCCAGTCGGTCTTATATGTTTGAACAAATCATGTTTTGGAAACTGTTACAATCTTGTTAAAATTGAAATGGATGAGAAATTGGAGTCTATTGGAACCTCATGTTTTGAAAATTGTAATTCTTTGAAATCAGTTATAATACCCAAAACAGTCACTTTTATTGGGAAGACGTGTTTCAAAAATTGCATTGGTTTGAGTTCTGTTGATATTAATAACGCATCCGTTGAATTGTGCCAAAATTGTTTTCAAGATTGTTGTTCTTTATGTTTAATTAACTTTAATTTTAATGAGTTAAACAAATTGAAGGCGACTTGTTTTGGTGGGTGTGTTTCTTTATTCAAACAATCAGATTAACAAACAATTATTTTAATTTTTGTTTTTGATTTGTTTATAAATTTTAAAAATATAATTCAAATAATGTTTTTTATCAAAACAATTAAAAAATAAGTTTATAAACTGTGTTGATAAAATAACTGAAAATTATATAAAATAGTTTGTTTTGTAACAACTAAATTAAAACATCAAAAATAACAAAGAGTGTCACTTCCGTCGCTCAAAATGAATGCTGATGATTTGGTCTTCGAAAAATCAGAGAAAATTGGAGAAGGAAGTTGTGGTATTGTTTACAAAGGGAGTCTTCATGGTGTACCTGTTGCTATTAAAATACCGAAAAATCCACTTGATGACAACCAAGTTGATGCTTACATCCATGAGATGCAATTAATGAATGATTCCCATGGCCCAAATGTCGTTTTATTTATTGGTCTGGTTATTTGTAATAATATTCCAATGTTTGTGACTGAATACATCAAAATGGATTTATACAAATTGGTCCACTCGCCAAGTCTCCCTTCTGAATACGCCAAACGTGTGTTAAACACTGAATTAAAAATTGAATTGTTTTCTCAATGTTGTAAGGCTATCCAATGGCTTCACAATCAAATGAATTTGATTCACAGAAATGTCAAACCAACAAACTTTCTATTAGATGAGAACTTCAAAGTAAAAGTCTGCGACTTTGGGTTTGCAGAAATTGCCAATGAAAAGGAAAAGACGTTTGGAGGATCACCGATGTACTGCTCCCCAGAAGTGTTGAATAAAGCAACAATTTTTGGAAAGGAGATCGACATTTATTCCCTTGGAATTACAATGTGGGAACTTTTTTACATGAAATTTCCATTTTTTGAACACCCTGAAATAGTTACTACTTACCAACTTCTCCCCGCTTTATTGAGTGGAGTTCGACCAATTTTACCAGTTACTTTAATTAAAGAAAATGAGAATAATATGAGTATGAAAAACCACTTGGAAGACATTAAAAAGACGTTTGGAAAGTTGGTTGAAGACATACCAATCGAATTTGAAATTTTGATGGCGAAGTGTTGGGACGTAGAACCAAAGAATCGGCCTGATATTAACAATTTGGTTGATTCAGTTTATGACTTAAAATTATCAATAATACTAAAAGATACTTCAGCGATGGGGTGGTGGAAAAAGACGTTTGAGAAAAGTGGAAGAGACAAAGAAGTGTTAGTTGACGAATTTCTTCAGCCATTGATAAAAAGTTTTAAAATGAAAATGGATGTTGTTAATTGTTTGAAAGAAAATATTGGGGTGTCTTATGAAGTTAACTTGAAGAGATTTCAATATTTGAGTGGAACGTTTGGGAAGTTTTATAGTGACAAAAGGTTGTTCAAAAAGATGATAAAAGTATTTCAAAAAGATTGGTGGTTTGGTGTGTGTTCGAAAGACGAAGCAATCGCAAAACTTGATGATAAAGTAGATGGTACATTTTTAGTTCGAGAAAGTTATAGTGTCGAAAACTCGCCTATTACCATCTCTAAAAGAAGTGATGGACAACTGAAACATGTTCGAATTAACACGAAATTAAACAAAGATGGCGATGTGATTTATTCAGTTAATGCAGGGGGAAAGGAAATAACACACGACAGTTTAACTGAAATGATTGATGCACTTATTGCACTAAGTTTCATAAAAATTGTGTGTGATCGACAAGAAATCGTATCGAAATACTGAAAGATATTTAATGATTTGTTAAATTTAAAATTGACACAAACAAAAAAGTCATTAATCCATTTCTAGAGTTTATCAAATTAAAAATAGATAATTGCATAACGGATAAATAATAAAAATGAACCACTTTGATATTAAATGTTTAATAACACATTTTTTATAAATTGTATTTAGAATTAGACCATGTATAATTATTACATTTTGTTGTAATATTTAGTTAACAATAGAATGAGCCTTTATAAAACACCTATGAAATTTTAAAACTCATTGAATCAATATAAATTAATGAAGTAATCTTTTGAATTAATAACAATAATATTTTACTGTTAGTATTTGTGAGATGAACTTGAAAGAGAGTTCATAAATAAACATATAACAAGAAAGAATAGCATCAGAACAAATATCAAACATATACCATCACACTTAGCAGCACCTCTTTGTAAACCTGCATACATAAGACTTCCTGCTCCAATTGTAGACCCAAAAATAAAAATAACTAAGGCTGCAGCCAATGATTGTAAAACACTGTAACACATTTTGGTTTTGAGTTTATATTAATTCGAGATTATATACATATCCATATCGTTTTGTTAAATTAATTATTATATTTTTATAATTACTACTTTACATCAAACAAATGTTATTTTTTTTCAAAAAAATATGCTTCATTAGACTAATCATTACCAAAAATAGATGTTTTTTTATTATTTAATACCTTTCTCAAAACAAAAAAGTGACATTTTTGGTAAATACACCATTATTAAAAAACAATTTTCTTCATAAATAACAATTATAATTGATGTGTTTTTGTAGTTGTTTTGTTATTCAAAACACCTTTTTATTTTTAAAAATTGTTTGTATAATTTAACCAGAGGTTTACGAAATCACAATCCCAATTACCCACGTCACCATTTAATAACTAAAATGTTCTTTTTTCTTATAAATTCGTACGTTATAATTCCACATTTTCGGTAATAATGATTTTGGGAACTGCTGTATTTAACACAAGAACTTTTTTAATGATTAAGTTATAAATTGGTTACTTTGTTTATAAATATAAAAAATATATTTATTTGCTTAAACTCGCTGACATTCCCTATTTTATAATTATTTTGTTAATGTTTAAAATGACATGAAAGCAAAAATAATTAAAATATAACTCTCTTCAAATAATTAACATTAACAATATATAACAATTGTATTTTGAAAAACGAGAGTCGGTATAAAAACTTAATCTACTCGATTATGAAACGTTATCTAATACCTAATGGACTAAACCAAGTAAATAATTTCGTGGGTTTTTAAATTAAACACACAGTTTCAGAAATCATAAACAAGAAGTACAACAAGATTGCCATACAATAACATTGAATTATAGTTATGTGGTTGAGTAAAAGTTATTCCGAAGTAATGAACCTTTTAAAGCAAACAAACGTCCAAATAACTATAAACTTTGGTTTGTTCTTTGAAAGAGTACATTCAATAAATTGAAAAAGTACTCCCACCAAAAAGCAAAATACTTCAAGAAAATGATTTAAAAAACTCGGTTTGTTTACAGTATTTTACGTTATTTTTTGGAAATCAAAGCATTAAATTCCACTTATTGACAAACAGTAAAAATGAAATGACTTTGACCCCATTTATGTTTTTGGTTTTGTTATTAGAAAATAGTTTAAATTAATATTCTTTTTGTACTTCTTTCTTTTAAATATACTGTTATTTTTCCTCTTCACCTTAAAAAAAGAAGTTCAAAAAGAATAAATAAGGTTTTGGAATGAATGAGGTTTCGAAACTGGCTTTAGTTCTGAATGGGTTTTGAAATTGTTTTTATCTAGAATAAACAACTGAAATAAAGATTTATAAAAAACAAAACAAAATTTGTGTGATTTAAAAAATTATCAAAAAATATTAATGATCTAATAATTCTAAATGGAAAACCGATTTAGAGAAAATAAAATTATGGAAGAAATCATAAATGCTCAACAAAAATGTGAAAATGCAATTAAAGAATCTTTACGTCTAACAGAAATTCTCCAATCACAAGACGTGCAACCATCTGTATTGATTCCTAATTTGAAAATAAAAAAAGAACGACTTCACCAACTTGTTACGCGCTTCCAATCAATGAAATTTTTAAATTCAAAAACCAATGAAATTCCACAACAGCAAATTGTTTCTGATATTAACACAAAAATATTTAAAACGACTCAGTGTGTGTATTCACGTGGTGCTCCAGAAATGTTGAAACATACACAATCAGAGCACACGCCCAAAGTAGCCAAAAGTGAACAGAAAATGGAAAAACAAGAAAAAGAAATTAAAGGGGGGATTGAAAAGGGGGAAGAGATGACTAAATTATTTGAATCTAAAACTGATAAGACGAAAGACCAACAACAAGAAGGAGAAAAAGAAGAAACACAAATGATGATCAAAAAACTTGAAGAGGAAAAACAACAATTGGCTATAAAAATAGATGAAATTGAACACAATAAAAATGAACTTCTGATGAAAGTTGATGAACTTCAAAAAGAAAAGGATGAACAAATGGTTAATACACAAAAAGAGAAAGAAGTCATTGAAAAGAAAGTTGGAGAATTTGAAAATCAAATAAAGTTACTACAAAAAAAAGTTGAGAACTTGGAACATGACAAAAAACTACTAATTAATCAAATTGAAGAAGTGAAAAACGAGAAAGAACTACTTCAAAAGAAGTTGGAAGAGCAACAAACGCTACACGAGCAAACTGAAAGTGAACGGATTGCATCTTTAAAGGAGAATAGTAAACAACAAATCTGTCGATTAGAACAACAAGTTGAAAGTGAAAAGAAGGAGAAAACAAAGCAAATTGAATTCAATCAAACGATTCAAAAAGAAAGAGATGTTTTGATGGATAAAAACAAAGATCTCACACATAAAATTACTGAGGCGGACAAAAATATTCAAATTTTTAAATTCCAAATTGATGAATTTCAAATGAAAATCAAGGAATTAAGCGGGAAGAAAGACGAAAATGGCGACAAAGAAAATATGTACAGAAAAGAAGTCGAAAAAATGCAACAAACAATCGAAACGTATCAACTAGAAATACAAAAATTAAAAGAAGAAGCCGAGAAACAAAATTATACAATCAACACATTATCGAAAGAAAATCTAAAAATGCTTAATAAGATCACTTACGAGTTCCAGGAAAAATATAACCTAAATTTAACAATCAGCGGACTTCGCAAGGAAAAAGGAGAATTACACAATCGATGCGATCAACTCAAAACGGACAAAGAAGAAATGGAACTGACAATTGATGATATGTATAATGAGTGTTATCGTTTAAACGGTGAGATCGAAAAACACAAAAAACAAATTGAAGAATTAAAAGAACAAGTTGAAAGTGAAAAGAAGGAGAAAACAAAGCAAATTGAATTAAACCAAAAAATCGGAAAGGAAAGAGATATTTTAACAAATACAAACAAAAATCTCACACAGAAAATGAGAGATGAAGAAGTCAAAAAATATAATGATTTGGTCAATAGCGAAGATACACAGAAAATGCATTCAAATGAAATTTACTTGACAATTGAAGAAGTGTACAGTGGGTGCCAAAAGATGATCACAACACATTCTTCTAAAGGCACCGAAGTTGTGGTTCTTGTCATATTAGATAAAGGAATCAAAGAAGGGGAAGTCATCGAAATTGATAATGTAAATTATGTTGTAAAGTATATAGAACACCCATATTTGTCAAGAAGAGGAGATGACTTGGTTGTGAATAAAAGTGTTTTTATTACAAATGGGGTCAGACACCCAGCCTCTTCTAGAGTTTTGATGAAGAATGAGTGTCAAACACTTTTGAGTTTGAAAGGGTTCACAGAGCAAGGGAAAACATTGTTCGATGATGGATCTGTAACATGTTAAATTACTTTCAATAATTAAGTTTCAATGTTGTTCGAATAGTTTATAATTCCATTTATTAAATACATGTAAACCAAACTGGTTTTAAATAAAATAATATATTATTCATTTTACTTTGAAGCCATTTTAATGCTTTTCATTGAATCATTGAACTTACAAAATAATCATAATTTAATTGATATCGGTTTTAAATGTGTATACGCTTTTATTATTTATTGAAATGTGACTAATAAATCAATATATAAACTGCTCATCTAATTATTTATAGTATGTAATGTAATAAGCTATGTAGTTTGAGATATTTATTTAATAAATTCAAAATTACTTTTTGGCAATAAATTTTTTTAAACACCAATTTCAAAAACAAAATTAAATATAACAGATTTTAACTACGTTTTAGTTGATTACTTCTTCATTCAAAATGAAAATAAATTTTTTTATAATTTTTGTTTATGTTATCACCATATGTACAACTATGTTGCTGATGGATTTAATTCAAAAGCAATTGATAAACATTTTTTATTTTTTTGTAAATAAATAAACATTTTTGTTTAAATTAATAAGGAGATTTTATTGTTACAGATAATTGTTTGTGTAACAACTTTTAGTAATAATTAATAATACTTACAGTCATGCGAAAAAGCTGTCGCGTTTGGAAAAACCTGTCTTGAAAAAATATTTTATAGTAAATTTATAATTACTTACTATACAGTATAGCTTCTATTCGATTTATTTGCAGGGTCATTTCACAAAAATCGAATAAAAATATTCGGCATTTCCAAATAACATTTTCTATTTCAGATCATTTGTTTATAGTACTAGAATAGTTCATTACCACCCGAGACAGGTTTTTCCAAACGCGACAGCTTTTTCGCATGACTGTAAATTTATTAATCGTTTTTTGGTTCGATAAATAAACTGATCTTCAATGAGATACTTAATTTGTTTCATATAATTATGTTCTTGTTGATAATTCTCCAAAGTTTTACATTAAAATAAGTGTCAAGGATAAGTGTTTGAGTGTGTAAACTAATAATTTCATTTAACTGAAAATGGTGTATCTCATTTTGACTTTTGTAATTAAGGTTATATCATTTGACTTTCTGCTACCCACTTTAAATTCAACGTGTATGACTGACTTTGTTGCATTTAACTTAGATTCACACGACATCACATACATAATAATTTCTGAATGTTATACAAAAATACCAAATTATAAACAATTGATTTCTGCTTATAATTTAAAAGCTATTTGTTATGTAAGTTCATCCAATTTCTTCATTCATAAAGACGGACACAATATCACCCGTTGTGGTCAATGGCTTACAGTGACTGGTCCAAGTCAAAAGAGTTTCCATTGTATGGTAGTGGGTTCAGCAGTAATGTTTTACCAAAACCAAAATATAGAAAAAAATGGAGAAACGGTGGTTGAAGTTCCAAACAACCTTTTCCTCTTTGGAACTGGACAATTGAAACATGTAAGAGATTCTTTGTATCAAGCTACTGTTTCTGTTGGTGATTATTTGGCATATATTAAGCCAAGTCTTGTTATTTTGAATATGACTCAACATGAAGCAATTGTTCAAGTATTTAATTTGAATAAACCAGTTGAGATGATTGGAATGAACTACATTTCATACATCAAAAGAAAAGACGACACCTTCACTTTAAAACGTCCTCTCAACTCATCTGAAATTAAAATTATTTCTTTGGATTTTGAAAAAGTTGTAATGCCAACAATACTTGAAAAAGTTGGTTTTATTGCTACAGCAACAACTTCTTTTCAGCATTTTAATATGACCAAATGTAAATTTATTGCATCTCCTTTGTTATATTCCGAAAAACATCAGATCACAAATCCGATGTTATTATGGTACTTTTATAGAGTTAATTACAGATTTCAATCTGAGTTACTTGACTTCATTAAACCGGTTATAATTACTCGAGAAAATGATAAAGAAGTGATGTTGACTATGATATACGGTTCAGCCTTTTTAATGTCACAAGATTTTAGGCAATTGAAGTGCAAATTGGAGGTGAACTTTACAATCGAAATTATTGATATCAAACTCATGTTGATAGCAAATGTAGAAACTGCTAAAAATTCTGATGGTTTTGTTATTGTTCGAAAGAATATGACGTATACTTATAAACAAACAAATGACACTGTTTATATCTTGATTGCGATGGATAAGAGTTGTAAAGAGTTTTCAAATGGGATTGAAATCGGCTACAAAAGTACACCAGGAGATGTTTTAAAACTTAAAGATACATATTTTGATATTGGAGAAGACGTGCAAAAGATTGAACAATCTGATTAAAGATCTTTTGATTGTGACAACACAGAATGTACTATTAATAACGTTTCATTTGATATTAAAACGAGAAAATGGAAAAGAGGGTGTGAGCCGAGTTGTGGTAGTTGCAGAGATGGGTATACATGTACAACAATGGGAAAATGCGTTGAAGAAAATAACGAGAACAAGAGAAATAAAACCGTTGGGGATTTGGTTTCACTTGTTATTGTATTGTTTATATTTTTATGAAACGATATCGATCCGAAATATGTGACATTATTGAGTGTTTGAGAATTTAAAGTTTAGTTGACTAATAACAACTTGATTTAAATATCTATTGATTGTTAAAATAAGAGTACTTATATGTAAAATTGAAATATTCTTGTGGAACATGAGAATGTTAACCTTATATATTTTAATTATGATTTAAAAGATAGGGGAATAGAAAACTCTGTTTACTATTTAACAATATTCTAAAAATATAACAAAGAAAAGAACTAGACCAAAAAAAAACATTAAACTATAATTTACTATACTCAATATCGCCAATTAAAAACTATTAACTATTAATAAATTTGTCATTAATTAAAACTAATGATAAACAAATTCCAAACATAGACGTTTTTTACATGTCACTTGTTGTTGTCTTCAATTTGACTCAATTGATAATTTGACATGTCTGCTCTATCACAATTGACACTCAATAATTTTGAATAATCCAGTTGACTCGTTGATATCTTTGTATTCACATTTCAATACCAACACATCTATCTTTATTGCTTTATAAATTATTGAGTTGTCAAGCCATTTTTACTGTTGTTGTATTTATCACATCGTTAAATAAAAAGAAAGAACAAAAAAATAAAATACTTACTATTGTTTTGATAATTCACTTTATTTTTATCATAAATTATAACAACATGATGATTCATAGTAAAAACCCAATATCGTTAAACAGAAGACAGACTTTATTATCAAAAACAACTTTTACTCAAAAACCTTCACTTCATATTCAACGCCATTTTTCTTGAGTAATTTCTCGAAGATTGGTAATGCATCATAACCCCCAATTGAAAACAATGGAACGATTACTCTTCTAATGCTTCCGTTGTTCTTTATTCCAAATTTCAAATGTGTCTGTATAATACTTTCACAGACACTTTCAGTTGTATTTCCAAACACCCCATTTCCTAATAAAGTTAACACCACATTTTCCCTTCCATTTTTAATTGCAGTTAAATATGTTGCTTCATATCCACATTTTAATGGGAACGTCCGCATTGATTTCTCCTTATCAGCAATTTGTCCGTTACGCATCCCACTCATCCCCTGTCCCACATTAAGAGCGGCGGCTATAACTTGGTCGATCTTCTGTCGGTCTGCTTGTCCAACCACTTCTATTTTTCCACCACACATTCTCATCATAGCAGTGACATTACTATGAATCGCTGCAATATATTTATCTTCATCACTCTCAGTAACTTTCTTTTCTTTAGACAAAAGGGGGTATCCATTCACTACGGGATATTTGTTCTTTAGTTTTCCAAGGATTTCGACTTGGTGTTCGTCTGTCTGACCCCACTGTTGGGGATCAATTTTTGAATCATAAAAGGGGAAGTGGACACGACAAATCGCGGCAGCTGGAGCGCCAATAGATGCGATTGGCCCCTGTGTTCTGTCGTAAACGTAGTTGGTTGTGAAATTATGGCTATCTGGTGAAATTCCCTCGGAAACACTCTCAACAGCATTGAAATTTGAAGCGACCAAAAAGACCGAATTTTTGAACTCAGGAGAAAGTTGCATTGCTGAAACTTCTACTTTGTTAAGAGAGGCAGATGACTTGCGTATGAAAATTTCGAATTTAGCAGGAACTGTAGATGGAGTCGAATACTTGCGAAGATCTTTCAAAGATAACAACTCAAAAGAACCACATGAAAAGTCTTCATGCGTTTTCTTGTTGGTTATAAATAATTCGGGTGTTGTGTACTTAGAGGGGGATTCATGAATTTGAGTTGCTTTAGTCATGACAAATTCTTGTTCGGTGACACCAGTGATATGTTCAAACCATTCTCGAGAAGAAATAGACTCAGTTGTTTGAGTTGATGACATTTTAAATTATTAGATTATTATGAAGTTTTAGTTTTTTATTGAAATATCATTATAATTTTTTAGATTAAATAAACATGAGTATTATGACTATACACGTTACTTAAATGATAAATTATTAATATTCAAATTACTACATATTAATGAGTGTATTTTTTGATATTGCTATATTATGAAATGGTCAGTGTATATCGCAGAAAACTTGATATTAAAATAATACATCTAAATAATAATCTTAATTAAATTACCTTTAATGTCTTAAGTAAATTATTACAGTTTTTATTTTAATAAAACAAAGAGGAATTAATTCTTTGTTTTTTAATTTATTTATAAATTTAATTTAAACATTAATAAAACAAAATTAAAAATTAAAAAATAAATAATCAAATATTTTTACTTGTAAAAACGAAAAAAAACGAACGAATTTTTATAATTGTAGTTTTAGAGTAAAAAAGATGAACAAAACTTTTTAAATAAGGAATTAATCGTCGACCACGAAAATCATGAACAAGACAAAAAACATGAGTGTGCAATATAATAAGAGCATTGAAAGCGCTTTCCAAGCCCACATTCTATACATGTCTTCCTTGTCATAGACTTTCCAAAAGAAGAGGAATATCCAAGAGAATGGAAAGACGAACCCGATGAAGAAGAACATTTTCACACTTTTACTGACATCTTCAGACGTCGGTTTGACCATTTCATTTGAAGGGATATACATGGGTTGGCTTGATTGGTATGGGTTTGTTTGTGCCGCGTACATCACTGGTTCATGGTACAACAGTGGCTGGTTTGGGGTTGCCTGTTGTGGATTTTCGTTGTGGGGAATTTCTGGTGGGTTGTATTGGATTGAACTGTATTGTGTTGGCGTCGAGTAAGTCGGTACGTCTGTAGAATTTTGCATTTTGTATTCTGAGATGTGGTATGAGTGGTTTTTTAATTTTTTTTTAAAGAAAGTTTGTGACTTTGGTCATCAGAAACAACAAGAAGTTTTAGGAAAGTTGTCTGGGCTTCTGTTGTGTGGTGATGTTATATTTTTATCACCACAAAAAAAATAATTTTCATTTTTTACTTTGAAATAAAATGCGGCAATTTTTGACTTCAAATCGGGATTTGCTTTAAATTATCAATTTGAGTTTGTTTTATGGTATAAAAATAAATACTAATATTTAAAACTAATGATAATAGTATATTATGTTATAAAAATAATATGTTTGTGAATTACTGAAAACTAATGTTATCATCTCCTATTTCACAAAGTAAACTATTCATATCTATTGAGACAAAAATAAATTTAAGCATAAAAATTAAACTGCAGAATATTTAATTTTTCCTCGTTAAATTATTCCACTCCTCGTCTCCTCCAACAAGAGGCTTTTTACTATCACTTTTCCCAAAGCATAAAGTAGTCCCATCTAAGTGCGCCCATTCCTCTCTGACAGGAAGAGCGGGTTGCCCCTTTTCTTGATAAAACGCTAAATAGAGTGCATATACCCCCATTATGGGATATAAAACATCACAGACAACAAAAAATGAAAGTGAAGCAACCATAAAAGATCTATCCGGTTCGACTACTTTTTTACACTCTAAGTCGTGGGGTAAGTTGACAACACTATTTGAACAAACTGTTGTCCCTGCAACTTTAACACAATTCCTTTGATCGACACTCCACTCGATCATTGGACACGTCATGAAATACTCGGGCTCACCATCCAAATCAGTTCGAATCAAGTTTATACAACATGAATTCTGTTTGTTATTTGCGTGTTGTTTTAAATTTATTTGACAACAAAAGTTAAAATCAATATTCAACAATTGTTTTGTGCCAAATACTAAATAAAATTGTAACAATGGTTCATCAATATCAGTATTTAGATGTCAACGTTTGATATTCAAAAACAAATAATTTGTTGATTGTACAATTTTATTTTTATGTTCAATGATATATATATACAATTTAAATAATTTTACATTTTAACGAATTAACATATCAACAACGTTAATATTCATAAAATATATATAATGTAACAACACTTCTATTATTTTAAAAAATTAAACAAACAATTCACAAAACAACATTATTATTTTTAAAATAATATAAAATACAATTTATAATTTTAACGCTGTTTGATTATATAATGTATAGTTCTATATTCATAACAAATGAACGACATTGTTACACATGGAAAAATCCAATTTAAACCGCAAATGTTACAATAAAAATATGAAACACAAACGTCTTTTTCGTATTGAATTCTTTTATCCATATTTGCTTCATCCCACTCATCTGGTATTTTTTCTAAACACAGAGAAGCACACGAAGTGAGCACAGCTGACAACACTAAAAATGCGAAGTTGATACCAACAAATGTGAGTTGTGTTTTCTTATTTATCGCAAAGAAGTAAAGAGCATAGAACAAAAACCCAACAGGTGCAAGTGGTGCTAAAAAGTACACAACTACTTTATAAGACGTCGACCCGTCAATTATTAAGTCGAATCCGACAGCTTCAGTTACACCAATACATGAAAATACAATTTGAAGTATCGTCAGTGCTACGAATCCAACTAAACCAACAAGAAAGAGGGGAAATGACCGGAGAGGCATTAATCACTTTTTTAGTAATTTTGAAGTTGAACTTTTTATAAATAAATTATGTAAACAGCTTGGTTGTAAGAATGTGGAAGAAGACTATTTTTGTGGTTTAAATAAACATTACTCAATGTTCAGTTTAAAAGTAAAACTTAATTTTATATAAAAATAACACTGAAAAATTAAAAAAAATATAATAAAATTGATGAAAAACCAAAATTGGTGATTTTCATAATTCATTTCAGATGGTTATTTATTACTATTAAAAATTAAGTTATTATTAATTTTAATAATAATAAATCTTTGTAAACAATAAACAGTTTTTTAATCATATTATAATAAATTAATTTAATACTTTTAATAAATTGATATAAAAAAAACAAATAATTGAACTACTCAAAATCGAAAGTTTTTTGTAAATGATAAAATGAACAAAATATAGTTTAAATTGTAATTTATTATAATTTATTATATTAGTTTGAATTTGATTTTTTAATTTTTACATTTTTAATTTTTATAAATTCGAAAATTTACAAATAAAATAAGTTTTACATAATTTAAAGATTTTTAAAAATTTTTGAATTGTAAGTTTGTATTGAATATTATTTGTTTTTGTTGAATTATAATAATTTTAAAAATCAAACTAATTTTTCTAAAATATTGAAAAATTATGAAACTTTTTAAATTTAATTAATTTTATTTAATTTAAATACTTTTCAAATTTAAATTTAAATTTTTGTTGTTAGTATAACTTCACTACTTTGTAGAATAAATAATTTGAGTAGTAATATTAACCTTAGCAAGTCAATTGAATCAACTTTTTTTGTGGGAAGGTGAAATCTGGATAAGATTTATCGAGATCATAATTTATTTTTGGAACAATTAAAATAAAATTCAAAACACAAAATCGATTAGTTTTCGCGCAAACTAATGGTCTTTACAGACCCATGTTTACTATTTCCCTGTGTTCAAAATAGTCAATACTTGCTTTTACGAGACATACACATAAATTTTCATGAGAGCGTTTCGTAATTCATCAGTTTTTCATAATTTAAATCGGTTTGTGACACGCCGTTCTTAAATTAAGATCTTTTTAGTTCAAATACAAAAATAAAAAAAGTGACTTATTTTTAGTAAAAAAATCAAGGATATAAATTATCCAGTTTTCACTTCGTAAGGTTAAATTAATCAACGTATTCAATTGTGAATGTTTTACCAACCTTATAAAAAGCATTGCAACGAATGTCAACAGACTTTTTCATATTTTTTGCACACTCTAAATTACTACATCGATAGAAAGCACAAGTGTTTATCATATTTATTTTTTTCCCTAACCAAACTTCTATGAGATTAGGAGATTCTATTGCAGACACCTCAATAATATTGACTTCATCTGGGATTTTTAAAACCCCATTATTGTCAATTAATTTTGGATTAATTAAATATAACACGACATCGCCTTCGAAATTGTATCTATTCTTAAGTACATCGTAAATAGTAAAATCGATATTCCCTCTAAATACAAAATTCATGGGCATATTTAAAAATTCAATGTTTTTAACATTAAAACATTTATAGAAAATACAACGGTTGGTGATGTTTTGGTCAATAAAAGTGACTGAAGTGAGCTTGGGACAATCAGTTATTATTAAGTTTGGTTGTGGTCTAATACAAAGCTCTTCGATATTTGAATGTGAAAATTTAAAATTGTCATAATCAACCATTTCATCGTGAAATATTATACTCGCTGGAAATACAAGTTTTCTCAATTTATCATTGTTTTCAAAAGCATTAATATCAATTGATTGTACACCCTCTGGTATTACAATTTCTTCGTGTTTGTATTCAGCGAAGGTCGAACATGCGAAAATGGCTGTAATATTTTTGCAATTTGGGGGAAATTTACCCTTAAATACAATGCCATCTTTTTGAGTGTAATAAAATTTGTCAACTTCGAGACTTTTTTCATCTAACATTTCTTTCATCCAACACGCAGCAATTCCATTAATTTTTCGAGTGTCGATAACATCTATTTTCTTCAGTCCAATGTAATCATATAAATTACTAATTTGAATGTTTTTATTCAATGTTATTGCAGTGAGAAAATTCATGTCATATTGGCTTCCAAAAGATATCACATTCGACAAATCAAGTCGTTTTATATCACAAGCATTAAACGCGCAATCTTCAATAACAGTTACAGTGGTTGCAAGATTGATATCCGAAAGTCCACCTTTGTTTCTGAACGCATCTCTATGAATTTCGTCCGATAATAAATCTGGCAAAACGTTTTTGTCGAATTTTGTGATGACTGTTTTATGCTTTATATTAGTAAACGCTTTTGATGAAGATACTGTGATATATAAGTCGACACTTGTTACTCCAGGTGCTGTAACATTTTGAATTGATGTAACGTCTTCAAATGCCGTTTTATCACTTTTTATAATGTTTGTACCCAAAGTTATTGCACTTAAACTATCACATCCACAAAAACAAAACTCCCCAAACATTCTGATGTGTTTCAAATCAATTTCTTTGAGGTTTGCACACATATAAAAGCACTTGTCTGGAATCTCATACAAATTACTCGACAGTGTTATTGCTGTCAATAAATCATTAGATTCAAAACATGATACACCAAATTTAATATAGTTTGTACAATCCATTTCATTAGTTTTTAAAGTATGTTTTGCAAAAGCTTTATCTAAAAATATGTTTGCGTCTTTATAAAAAAAGCCTTTGTCTTGACACATTGAATAGGTTTTGAATGGACATATGACACGTCGACACTTATTGATTTCAAAATATTTGTGTAAAGGGATTGGGTAATGTACATAGTATTGTTTGTATTTAGAAAGGAATTTATCTTTTTCATTATAGAGGTGAAGAGTCTCAACATTTGGAAAATACTTTTGAGTTTTAAACAAAATAGAAATTGGATTGTAGTGAAACATCTCTGGTATTTCTTGAAACTTTTTACATACAAAAACCATATTTTTAAAATCAGATAAACACATGAAATATTTTGATACAATCATCATTGAGTAGCGGTCCAATTGAACACACATTTATTGTTGTTTATAGTTTATAGTTACAAAAAATACAAAAACATGAAAAATGCATATAAAAACTATTATTCAAAAAGTTGGTAAAAACATGATAAGATATACTATTTTTTATTATAAATAACCATTCACCATTGGTTTCTATTTTTGCCAATAATATAATTCATATATAATTCATATAGAGTCAGAGTTTGTTTTAAATTTCTTTCTTTTCTAATGAATTAATTAATTTTTATTATAATTAGTAATAATTTTTGTTGAAAAGGGAATTATTATCTGATAATATAGATTGATTTGAATAAATTATATATACAGAAAGAAGAGCGAGTAGTGCTTCGCAGTTTATGAACAGAAGTTTTTTTCTATTTTTTTTCAAACTGAAAATAATCACATTCAAAAATTTAATAATTTTTAATAGATTTATCTCCACTTTTGGGATTAATTTATTCAAACACAATTATTAAAAAACAAAATCATAAACTGTAAAACTGAATCAAGTTTAAAAAAATAAATAAAAAAACCCAAAACTTTGAATTTTTTTTTTGTTTTTGTCAAAAATCCAAATTATGATCAAAAATGCATTTTTGTCAAATTTTGTAAAAATGGTTATTAAAGTAAACTGTGATAAAAACAAATAATATTAATCCTAAATAAATAATGTTTTCAATTATTTACACAACAAAGTTATCAACACATTAAAATGTTTGAATAAATTAATAACGAACATACATAAATGTTAATAAACATGTAATAGTTAAATAAAATTTCAAGTTAAACGATGACTGTTAATGACATTGTTATTTTCAAATATTGATTGTAATGTATGTGTTATTGATGTGACAGTTAAAACGAAGAAAAGTCAAATATTATCAATTGTTACTTATTTCATTGTCCAACTACGTTAATGTTCATAATGATTAATTAATCGCTTATTGTTGATAATTACATGTTAATGAGATATTATATACAATTAAAATTGTTTTATTTTTTTAAATATAACAACATACAACAGTAAAGACATGTATTTTGACAACATCACAACATTTATGATTAATTAATATAAAAAGGTGTATTTATTATTATTTTAAATAATTTATAAACAATAATTAATAAATTATTGTTTTTTGCTGCTCTTTTGTTTTAAAAAACAGCCTAAAAACAAATAACTGTCAACTATTTAAACAAAAATATCAAATTAAATCTTTAAATGATAACACTAAAATAAAAAATATAACATCTACAGCATTTTTATTTTTTGACTTGGAGCTCACATTTCATGCACATGAGATATTAAGATCTTTTTTCCCGTAGTTTAAGTTTTAATA